GCGCGGCCCCGCCAGCGCGCGCGGGGAAGGAGGAGGAGGAGGAGGAGGAGGAGGAGGAGGAGGAGGAGGAGGAGGAGGAGGAGGAGGAGGAGGAGGAGGAGGAGGAGGAGGCTGCCGTGTGGGGCCGCCGTGTGCCGGGACTGCGCGGTGGATGCTGCCGCTCCCGCAGCCGCCAGCGTGGGGCTGGGGTCCGCCGCCGGAGCCGACGGCACACAGGCGCTCGCGGCGGCCACTCCGGCGACCGCGCCGGCCTCCGATGCCGCGGCGGCCGCGGCGGCGGCGCCGGCGGCTGAAGTGGCAGGGCGGGCGGTCGCGGCAGCGGCGGCTCTCGCCCCTGGTCCACCCGCACCGCCCCTGCCTGGAGGCGTGGCCGCGCTGGGTCCCGCCCCCGCTGCGGCCGCGCCGCCGCCCCAGCCGCTCCGAGACATGGAGGCGGATTGCTGGGCGGCTCTGGACGCCATCGACCTCTTGGACGAGCTCGCGCAAGACTGCCCCACGCTCCGGTTCGTCCCCGGAGGGGCCCGGGCGGCCGCCGCACAGGCCACGGAGGCGGTCTGCCGGGCGGTGCTGCGCTCTGCGCCTGCCACGGTGGCAGAGACCCGGGCTTGGAAACTCCTCGTGCTCAGGGAGCGGCTGCTTTTCTCCGCGCCGATCCGCCGCAACACAGGCCGGCGGCGCCAGCCAGACAGCGAACCCCCGGAGAGGGCGCGCCTGGTCAGACAGCGGTGCTCCCTGCTCCTGCGCGGCTCCTGGCAGGAGCTCCTCGAAGAAGCGCGGAGGGCCGCTCGGGGCCTGGCCCGGGCCCGGCGGGAAGCAGGAGGAGACGGCGCCAACGACAAAGGCCACCTTGCCGACCAGGTGGTGCGCCAGGCTCTCGCTGAAGAGTACTCGCGGGCAGCGGCGCTCCTGGCGAGCCCTGGTCTGGCGCCGCCAACAGAGGAGACAGCGACGAAACTACAGGAACTGCTTGCTCCCCGCGGCGCACAGGCACTGGCCCGCGACCCTCGCCCAGGGCCGGCGGCGGCGGCTTCGCCCCTCTCGCACACGGAGCTCAAACGGGCCCTCCGGCGGAGCCCCAAGGGGAGCGGCGCCGCGGTCGGCGGCGGCCGTTTTGAGCACTGGCGAGTGGTGCTTGCCGAGCCCACCGCGCTCGAGGCGCTTTGCGAGGTTTGCGACCGCGTCGCCACTGCGAACCTGCCAGAGAGCGCTGCCGAAGCTTTGGCCCTCTCGAGACTGACGCCCCTCCGCAAGCCAGGCAACGGGGTGCGCCCCATTGCTGCCCCAAGCATCCTCCGTCGGCTGGTCGGCCGGGCTCTGGTGACTCCGCTGAAGAGGGATCTCGCGACTGCTCTGGGCAGGCGGCAGTTCGCGATTGGGACGAAGGCAGGGACCGAGCTGCTTGCCCACACTGCCCGGGCACTCTCCGAGAGCAACCCCGACCTGGTGGTGACGGCACTGGACGCGAAGAACGCCTACTGCACTGCGAACAGGGCCCACTGCTTGGCAGAGCTGGAGGACGCGGCGCCGGAGCTGCTCCCCCTAGCGAAGCTCTTCAGCCAGCGGCGCTCCCAGTACTACTTCTGGGACAGCAGCGGGACTTGCCACAGGCTCCGCTCGGCAGACGGGGTGGACCAGGGGGACCCCTTGGCGCCGCTGCTTTTCGCCTGCGGCTTGCGCCCGCGCCTGCAGGCGCTGGAGGAGGCGCTGCGCGCGGAGGCGACTGCCCTGGGGCTGCGGCCCGACGACATCCGGGTTCTGGCTTACCTGGACGACGTGATCGTCCTCGCGCCGCCCGAGCTGGCTGCCGCCGTCGCCCCGGCGGCGCAGGAGGCCCTCGGCGCCTTCGGCCTTGAGCTCCAGCCGCACAAGACGCAGGCCTGGTCCCCGCGCTCGCCGTGCCCAGCCGGGCTCGAGGAACAGCGGCGCCCACGCGGCCTCACGCTGGTGGGTGTTCCGCTGGGGGAGCCGCTGCCGCCGGGAAACCTGCCGGACGCGACGGACGGCCGCCGCCTGGGCCTGGGGACGCCGGCCTGCGCCGCCGAGCGCTGCGCCGAGGCGGCGGCGCGCGCCGCCACGCTGCTGGGAAGGCTTGCGGAGCTGCCGGGGCAGGCCTCACCGCACCTGCATGCCCGCGGCGCAGGCCGCCGGGCTCCTCCTGCGGCACTGCGGCACGGGGAAACTGGTGCACCTGCTGCGCACTAACCCGCCCGCGACCGCGCGAGCCGCTGCTACTGCTTACGACGCGGCCACCCTGGAGGCCTACGAGGAACTGGCGCACCTGGACCCCTTGACGGGGGGCCAGAGCGCCCACTGCCGGCTGCCGCTGCGCCTTGGCGGGCGCGGCTTCCGAAGCCAGGAGGAGCAGGCCCCCGCGGCTTGGGCGGGCTCCTGGGCGCAGAGCCTGGCGGGCACGCTGGAGAGGAGCGGCCTGTCCGACTTGGCGGACCTGGACACCTCTGGCCTGCCGCTGGCCGCGGCCTGCCGAGAGGCGCTGGCCGCGCTGCCAGGACCAGACCCCACTGACGAAGAGGACGAGGACGCAGCGCCGCTGCCGCCCTGGCGGGAGCTTGCCCAGGCGCCTCGGGAAAAGCCCAAAAGATGCTCACGCGTAGGCTCGACAAAAAGAACCACAACGCCTTGCTGAGCAACTTGGGCCCCGAGGACCGGGCACGACTCCGCTCCTGCGGCGGCGCCCACGCGGCCGGCTGGCAGCTGGCGAACGGCGGGCCCGGGCAGCGCTTGGGGGACGACGTCTACTTGGACACAGCTCGGGCACTGCTGGGCCAAGACCTCGCCCCACTGAACAGCCGCTGCCAGAACCGGCTGCGCACGGGCGCGCGCGCTGGGCAGCCCTGCGGCCAGCCCCTCTGCAGCAAGGCGCACCACGCCTTCCGCTGCGCCTGCGGAGGAGGCGCGAAAGCGCGCAGCCGGACCGTCGAGGATGTCTGGGAGCGCATTCACGCAGAGTGCGGCTTCCAGACAGCGCGCCAGGTTCATGTCCCAGCCTGGGATCGCTGGATCTGGACGTGCACGGCGCCCGGCTGCGCGGCGCGCGGCCACGCCGACGCCCCGCCAGCAGGGCCCTGCCAGGCCTGCGGGGCCGCACTGCAGGCGCGCCGCGAGGAGGCGCTGCTCGACCTGGAGGCGCAACGGGCGGGCTGCCCGCGGCTGCTAGCGGATGTCACAGTCCGCTACAGCGTGCCAGGCGAAGCCGACAACCTGGCCGCGGCGGCGGGCACGGACGGCGCCGTGGCGCGGGAGGGGGAGCGCGACAAGAGACGTCGCTACCCCGCCGGCCGGGCCCCCTAGCGCGTGCTGCCGCTCAGCCTCGAGACGGCCGGGCGCCACGGGCCAGCGGCGCTAAAACACTTGCGCTGGCTCGCACGCAGCCGCGCCCAGCTGCTCGGCGACGGGCCGGAGGCCGACGCCGCGGCCAGCTCTCTCGCCGCACGCTGGGGCGCCGAGCTCAGCACGGCGCTGCACACGGCTACAGCGCGCCAGCTGCGGACCAGCCTCGGGCGCGAGGCTGCGCAGGCCTCCGCGGCTGCCCTCCGCGAAGCGGCGGCGGGCTGAGCTGGGCTGCGGCCGGGGCGCGGTGGAGCTGTCCTACACCTTCGTCGCGCTGCTCGTGGTGCTCAGCGTAGTTGGGGGTGAAGTGCGAGCCCCCCTTGCTGCGCAGGAGGGGGATGAGAAAAAGGAGGAGGAGGAGGTGGAGGAGGCGGAGGCGGAGGAGGCGGAGAAGGCGGAGGAGGAGGAGGAGGCGGAGGCGCCATGCCCAGACCACTGGACAGCAGCGTGGCAGTCGCGGTGCTGGCCTGCTGGGCCCGGAGAGAGCGCTGCCAGCGCCGCGGGAGCCACCAGGATGGCCCCCTGCATCGGCCCGCCCGAGGTTGCCCTTGCATCCCTCTCCTTCGGCCCCTCCGTGGCCGCTCTCGCCGGCTTCGCCCCGCTCGCAAGAGTGTCGGGGCATGGCCCTCCAGGGCCCTCGTGGCCTTACCGCGCGGGCTTCTCTATGCGTGTCGACTGCGCTGCATCCGCCGTGGGGGCCGCCCAGCCTGGGGGCCCCCAGCCCGCCGCATATGGGCCGCCCCAGTCGGCGCGGATGGGCCAGGCCTCCTCGCGCCGTTCCCACGGCGAGTTGCAAGCCCCACGATGGATTCGTTCGGCGGCGAGCGAGGGTTCTGATGTTCCAACCTACTTTAGCCTCGATCACCAGAAAGGATTTCGAGCACCAAGGAAGTACCACAACTGGAGGGCTTTCCCGTGTCGGGCCCTGGGAGGTGATACTCGTTCGACATTTCGCTAGCGTATCGGGCAGGCACTGTTTCGATACTGCTCGGGGTGTTCGAAATTATTTCTGGGACGCGGTCCTGAAGCGCGATGGGAAGTAAAGCGAGGGGAGGAAATGAGAAGGAGAAGGCCTTCTCAGAAGGCGGCGGGGCTTCTCAGAAGCCCTCGGGCCTTCTGGGAAGCGTGTCCGCGTCTTCGGGGAAGGCCTGGGCAGCTGCCCAGAAGGCCGGGGGACTTCCGAGTCTTCTCAGAAGGCCTTCCCCTTCTTGCTTTCCCCTACGGGCGCGCCGCCTAATTGAGCGCCACCAGGTGGCCCAGATAAATTGATCCAAAAGCACCCGATCGAAGGTGGAAGGAGCCGCGCGGTGTCGAAGGCACCAGCGCCAGGGGCTGCCACGCCACGAACCCGCTGCACGCTTCCCTGCTTCCGAAGCTCTGGGCACGAGTCGGGGCAGCGCAAGCATGGATCGAGGCCCTCGCCTCCTCCTCCTCCTCCTCCTCCTCCTCCCCCTCCTCCTCCTCCTCCTCCTCCTCCCCCTCCTCCTCCTCCTCCTCCTCCTCCTCCTCCTCCTCCTTCTCCTCCTCCTCCTCCTCCTCCTCCTCCTCCCCCTCCTCCCCCTCCTAGCCATGTCGCGCGCAGGGGGCGCTGCCGGCGCTTGCTTCGAAGTGGCGCCAGTGCCAGCGGACCGCCCACATAATCACAAGCCGCT